TTACATCCGCTTTTCATCCATGTACATCTGTTTTTTGTCCGTTTACATCTGTTTTTGTCAGTTTACATCCGTTTACATCTGTTTGTTGTCCATTTACATCTGTTTTTCATCCGTCTACATCCGTTTTTCATCCGTTTAAATCCGTTTTGTCCATTTACATCCGTTTTCATCAGTTTACATCATTTTTTTTTTGTCCGTTTACATTCATTTTTGGCCATTTAAATCTGGGTTTTGTCTATTACATCCATTTACATCAGTTTTGTCTGTTTACATCTGTTTTTTGTCCGTTTACATCCATTTTTGTCAGTTTACATCAGTTTACATCTTTTTTCATCTGTTTACATTTGTATTTTGTCCGTTTACATCCATTTTTGTCAGTTTACATCCATATTTGTCTGTTTGCATCCGTTTTGTCCGTTTACATCTGTTTTTCATGTTTTCTTTCTGTTTACATCCGTTTTTCATCCATGTACATCTGTTTTTGTCTGTTTACATCCATTTTTGTCAGTTTACATCCATTTACATCTGTTTTTTGTCAGTTTACATAAATTTTTTTCCATTTACATCCGTTTTTGTCAATTTACATCCATTTGCATCCGTTTTTGTCTCTTTACATCCGTCTTTGTCTGTTTACATCTGTTTTTGTCAGTTTTAATCCATTTACATCCGTTTTTTGTCTGTTTACATCAGTTTTTGTCAGTTTACGTCCATTTTTTCCGTTTACATCTGTTTTTGTCAATTTACATCCATTTGCATCAGTTTTTGTCTGTTTACATCCGTTTTGTCTGTTTACATCTGTTTTGTCTGTTTACATCCATTTTTTTTTTTTGTCTGTTTAAATCCATTTTTGTCCATTTGCATCTGTTTTTTCTCTGTTTACATCCATTTTTTCATCTGTTTACATCCGTTTTTTGTCTGTTTATATCCATTTTTTGTCTGTTCCATTTTTTTTAATGGAAGAAAAATAGGGTTTACTTCCGTCAAAAAACCCCGGATGTTAACAGATGCGGACATTAACGAATGTAAACAGATGATCCTTTGTTTACATCCGCAAGTCCATAGAAATGCATGGGGGTCCATCCATAAACGGACAGATAAAAAAACGGACGTACAGAACGCCCCGTGTGAAAGGGGCTTAAAGCAGATCACAGATGAGTTTTTGTCGTTCAACCAATGACCGGTTTCCTCCATCCACACACTCGATGTGGATGGGGGGAATCCTCCCCGCTGCGTCCCCGTTGTCAGAATACACAGATCAGCACCGCCGGCTACAGCCTGCAGCGTTGATCGAGACAAAATTTTCACAACAAGGCCGTCATACAGAAGTCATCAATCGATAAATCGACTTCTGACAACCACAGAGCCCACACATGGATCAGACGTCCCCGGCTGAGCTGGCTGAATGTTGATCCATCGATGGCCGGTTTTAGGCAAATTCACTGTCCTGCGTTAACGTGCATTATGTGCGTGCGTTTACATGCTTTTGTTTGGATTTAGAATTTGGCGCGGATTGGGGTAAGTAAGGGCCCTTTCACGCTGAGCAGGAAAATTAATGGCCTTTAAATCCTAACTGTATTAAAACCTCTTTTTTTGCATTTTGTGACCCCATTAGAGAGTTATTCCTCCACTTCCTGTCCCCGTGACACCAACACAAGCATGGTTGTCACTAGGACGGTAAAGGAAGCATCGTCATTAGTTTTACGTTTTCTCTGCTCTACTAATAATGTGTTCTTGTCGGTTGTAAAGGTAAGGTGGGAATTGCCTTGAAACTCTGACAGGCTTATATTGCAGCCTCTTTATGACGATTTCCTTCTTCCTGTGTTGTCACCGGAACAGGAAGTGAGAGGAAATCTCCTCAGCGGGGACACAGAGGGCTAATAAAAACCCGGACAGGGGCTTTAAACACCTCCCCCCTTTTGAAAATATAAGCATTCAGCTGATTGGTCGGTTTCGGGCCGATTCTACACCGCGGCAGAAGTCAGCAAAAATTAAACGCGATTGGTTCGGAAATTGGATTTCCCAGAAAGGATGACTGATGTGGCGGTGGAAAGCGATCAATAGTTCTGATTAGAATGAAATACAATTCTTAAAAATGATCAAAATATTATTATTATTATTATTATTGTTATTATTATATATTATTATTATTATTTATTGTTGTTATTAATATTATAGTATTATTATTCAGTAGTAATAATATTAATATTAATAATAATATTAATAATAACAACAACAATAATAATAAAAATAATATATAATAATAATAACAAACAATAATACTAACAATAATAATAATAATAAATAATAATAATAATATTAATAACAACAACAATAATAATAATAATATATAATAATAATAATAATAATAATAATAAATAACAATAATAATATAAAAAATAAATAATAACAATAATAACATTAGTAATAATAATAATATATAATAATAATAATAATAATAATAATAATAATAATGTTAATTCAAAACAATAACTTATCATTTTTTAAATTTTACTTTAATTTTCAGAATTTGTGATCACCTGGTCACCATGGAGATAGCCATGCAGTTCAAACCTGGAAGCTGCCACAGGAAGGACCTCACAGCACCGCCCACTCCCTCTATACTGCATTCCTATTGGCTCCTCTGCAGGACCCTGTTGATGGCTTATTGGGCTACAACAAAATGGCGCCCTGAGGGCTCTGGAAAAATGGAGAAGATGGAACTTCCGGTTTCTGACAGGTCTCCATGGAGAGAAGGGAAGTTTGCGGTTGCTGTGACAATCGGTAAACAAGAGAAGTCTGATCAGACTGGAGCCAGGAACAGAGCTGACATGGTGAGAGGACACCTGTGTATACATTATATATACCTCATCTGATACCTACCCCCCCCATCATCACCATCCCTCTACCTGGATAGAGGACACTTCTGTATACATTCTGTCTTCCTTCTTTTTTTCATCATCATCTTTCCCTTTGGGGACAACCCACACTCTATGCAGTTATTGCACCATGAAATGTCTGTCACCAGAGGGACACCCCAAACAATTGTATCCTATGTGTCCCATTCACGCTGCAACACGGCCCAGGACATGCTGCCATTTATTACAACGCACCGTGCGGAATCACACTACAATGTACAACAACGCAGCACCTCACAGCGCCTCGCACCGCCCTGCATTGCAGAGAATGAAGGGTGCGCTTTGTACGCTTCAAATAAAGTTTGTACATAAAAGGGAGCCATGTGATGCGCTAAATCGTACACCACACTGCCCCCCCTACTGCAGATGGCAACGGACAGCGGTCAGAGCCGAACCACTGACAGCTCTGCACTGCAATGTGAATTCACCCTCATCTTCCTTCCATTTATCTTCCTTCCTTCCTTCCATCCTTCTTTCCTTCCTTTTACCTGCCTTCCATTTACCTTCCTTCCCTTCTAGTCCTTTCCATTTATCTTCCTTCCTTCCTGCCATTCATCTTCCTTCCTTCCATTCCTTCCTTCCTTCCTGCCATTCATCTTCCTTCCTTCCATTTATCTTCCTTCCTTCCTTCCTTCCTTCCTTCCTTCCATCTTCCTTCCCTTCTTGTCCTTTCCATTTATCTTCCTTCCTTCCATCTTCCTTCCTTCCTTCCTTCCTTCCTTCCTTCCATTCATCTTCCTTCCTTCCTTCCTTCCATTCATCTTCCTTCCATTTATCTTCTTTCCTTCCATTTATCTTCCTTCCATCCTTTTTTCCTTCCATTTATCTTCCTTCCCTTCTAGTCCTTTCCATTTATCTTCCTTCCTTCCTGCCATTCATTCTTCCTTCCATCTTCCTTCCTTCCTGCCATTCATCTTCCTTCCTTCCTTCCTTCCTTCCATTTATCTTCCTTCCTTCCTTCCTTCCTTCCTTCCTTCCTTCCTTCCTTCCTTCCTTCCTTCCCTTCTTGTCCTTTCCATTTATCCTCCTTCCTTCCATCTTCCTTCCTTCCATTCATCCTTCCTCCCTGCCATTCATCTTCCTTCCTTCCTTCCATTCATCTTCCTTCCTTCCTTCCTTCCTTCCTTCCATCTTCCTTCCTTCCTTCCTGTCCATTTATCTTCCTTCCTTCCTTTCCTTTCCATTTATCTTCATTCCTTCCTTCCATCTTCCTTCCTTCCTACCTTCCATTTATCTTCCTTCCTGCACTTATTGTCCTTTCCATTTATCTTCATTCCTTCCTTCCTAAATTTAATTTATCTTCCTTCCTTCCTTCCTTCCTTTCAATTTATCTTCCTTCCTTCCTTCCTTCCTTCCTTCCTTCCTTCCTTCCTTCCTTCCTTCCTTCCTTCCTTCCCTCCTTCCTTCCCATTTATCTTCCTTCCTTCCTTCCTTCCTTCCTTCCTTCCTTCCTTCCTTCCTTCCCTCCTTCCTTCCCATTTATCTTCCTCCTTCCTTCCTTCCTTTCCATTTACCTTCCTTCCTTCCTTCCTTCCTTCCTTCCCTCCTTCCTTCCCATTTATCTTCCTTCCTTCCTTCCTTCCTTCCTTCCTTCCTTCCTTCCTTCCCTCCTTCCTTCCCATTTATCTTCCTTCCTTCCTTCCTTCCTTTCCATTTACCTTCCTTCCTTCCTTCCTTCCTTCCTATTTATCTTCCTTCCTTCCCATTTATCTTCCTTCCTTCCTTTCCATTTACCTTCCTTCCTTCCTTCCTTCCTTCCTTCCTTCCTTCCTTCCTTCCTTCCTTCCTTCCTTCCTTCCTTCCTTCCTTCCTTCCCTCCTTCCTTCCCTCCTTCCTTCCTTCCTTCCCATTTATCTTCCTTCCTTCCCATTTATCTTCCTTCCTTCCTTTCTTCCATCCATCATCCTTCTCTTTCTTTCTTTACTTCCTTCCACACACACTCAGTATCTCAGTAGTTGATGACAGATTGTCCAATCAGATTGCCTGGAGTGTGGTCCCCTGGGGACTCCAGAGAGGATGGACAGTAGAGGACCTCCCAGTCCTTCCAGGTGGTGTCATTAACTCCTTGTTGTCCTTCCTCCTCAGCCTGAGAGCATTGTGGGCTCGGTCAGCTCCAGTTCCCATGGATCGCACCGATCGAAGGCCCGGAAGTACCGGACGAAGGCCCTGAGCTCAGAAATCGATGAGAGTTTGTTTGGCACGAAGGTGAGACGTGGGATAGAAATGCTCCTCCTCCCTGGTAGGACGATCTCAGGTGGTGGAGGAGTTTGGGGTCACGGTGATGTTCTCCTCCAGACTGACACCCACACAATAAGGCATTTTTACATTTGCATAACTCCTCCCACTGCTTGCACCGTGGGGAGGAGTACTGAGGGCAGGGTGCTGTCATGGTTTCAGGAAGCTATGTACAGCACCCTCCAACCAGCCATGGTCTGCCTGCATTGCATGGAGAAGCACAGAGACCCAGTGATGACATCATTGGGTCTGCATGAATGGTTTTAACGTGCAATGCGTGTGTTTTTATTTAAGCCGCAGCCTGCCAAAGATGACACCCCGATTGTGCAGACGATGGAGAACCGACGGCGCAAAACCGTGTCAGCGCCAACAAGAGGTCGCAAGCATGAGACCATCCGAATTATCACCAGTGACCTGATCCGAGATCTGCTGTAAGTGCCATAACCGTCTTCCGGCTCCAGTCAGTGACTTTGCCTAGGCTAAGATGACATCATCAGTCTGCTGCAGTAAAGAGGAAGCATTTCCTCCGTCTCCCCTCCCCCATTGATCACTCACACTGTACATTGTAACTTTGTAGCAAGTCACAAGGTGAGAGACTGCTCCAGGGGGCTGATCTGTGTCAGTGACTTTGCCTAGGCTAAGATGACATCATCAGTCTGCTGCAGTAAAGAGGAAGCATTTCCTCAGTCTCCAATCCTGCAGTGATCACTCACACTGTACATTGTACCTTTGTAGCGAGTCACAAGGTGAGGGACTGCTGCAGGGGGCTGATCTGTGTCAGTGACTTTGCCTAGGCTAAGATGACATCATCAGTCTGCTGCAGTAAAGAGGAAGCATTTCCTCAGTCTCCAATCCCGCAGTGATCACTCACACTGTACATTGTAACTTTGTAGCGAGTCACAAGGTGAGAGGCTGCTGCAGGGGGCTGATCTGTGTCAGACAATTTGTGAACACAGCCAAGAACTGCACAGATATCAGGATTTTATATAATTGTTTCATCTCTGAGCCGCCATCTCAGTCCAGGACCTTGAATGATGCCTGAACAAAGATGGTGCTGCCCTTCTGCAGTGGAAAGGTATTGTTGGGGGAGTACTGTGATCTCTATGGGGGGGGGGGGGAATAAATACCTGCAGGTGTTACAGCACTTAAGTTGAAATATCTATCTGATGACAAGGGGCAGACTGACAACTCATGGGGCCCCCGGGCAATAGGGGATCATGGGGCCCCTGTGTCCTCGTCCACACCCAAAAAAGCCTATGAAAAAGCCAAAAAGAAAGGTACCAGGGGCATCCCATGGGGTCCCCTACTGACCCCGGGCCCTCGGGCAGTTCCAGAGTGCTCGAATGGTCAGTCCACCCCTGCTGATGACAGGTCCACTTTAATCTTGTGTGTCTAACCTGATCTTCCATGTTTGCAGGGTTCCCTCTGAGGACCCCTCCGGTTTATCCATCATCATGTCCCCTCATGACTTTCGTCGCATCAAGTCTTCATCTCAAGTCCTCACCAAGGCGGAACGTGAGGTGGCCGTACAGGCCTTCAAGGAGCAAAAGGAAGCGGCCATTGTAAGGACTTTTTTTTTATCATAATGATATTTGCATAACTCCTCCCACTGCTTACATCAGGGCTGAGGGCCCTTGAGGGAAGTACTGAGCTAGGGGGCTGAAATGTTTACAGCCCCCTCTTAATAGCCATGATCTGCCTGCATGGCTTAGAGAAGCACAGAGACCCAGTAATGACATCACTGGGTAAAAAATAAGGTAGGTAATAAAAGCAAGTTTTATTAAAAAAAAAAAAAAAAAAAAAAAAAAAAGGGGGCATTTGGATGAGGAAGGAACCAGACAAAGCAAAAACATAAGCCAGTTTTAAGGTTATTTCCTTAATTTTCTGTTGTCACCGGGAAAGGAAATGAGAAGGATCTCCCCAATGGGGACAGCGACAGCAATTAAAACCTGACAGAGGTCCTAACCACTACTTTTTCTTACCACAATACATATGTTTTGGCTGGAGTTCCCACTGTGAACCTATACCAAAGCTACAAGTGCTTCCCATGATTAAGCCCTGTGGCTGGGACGAAACGCGTTGGGGTATGTGTGGCCTGGACGGAGGCGGGCTGAGGCTCTTTTCACTTTCCACACATAGGGTTTTATTGGGATGTGCGGCTTTTGGGAACTTTCTTCTTTCGCATTAGCTGGAGTTCTACCACTATCCCTAACATTGGCAGCTAATATGCAAATGAGCTCAACCCCCGAAGGGGCGGGGAAAGGGGGGGGGGGGGGGTTGAAGAAAGTAAATCTAGATCCTAACTGAATGACAATTATTTTTTTTTTTTTTTCATAGAACGTACTTGGGGATCTGTGTCAGTGACACCAGGACAAATAAAGAGGGACATAGGACAGCAATAAAAACCCAACAGGGAATCCAACCCCACCACCCTGTATCCAAAACCAAGATAAACATCTCTGGTGGGAGATATACCACATTGATGGGTGTTTGTGTTGCCTTTTTCAGGAAGCCGTTAATGAGCGCAAGAACTACATGAAACAGAAGGAAATGCTTCGCAGGAAGAACGAGAAGCTGAGCGACCTGGAAGAGGAAGCCCAGCAGAGGGCGCAGTATCTCCTGCAGAGAGCCAACACCATGCGCATGGAGCAAGAAGACGAGATCAAAAAGCTCAACGAGGTGGGAGGAGTATTCTAAATCGAGCGCTCTTTGTCCTAGTAGCCTCAATAAAGGGGAGTGTTCAGATATCCGAAACGCGTTGGTTGTTTTAGCTAATGACTCCAAATAAATTACTGATTGCTGCAATTATTTAACCCCTCGCCCTCCTGAGGATTTACCCCCCTTAATGACCACGCCTCTTTTTGCTACTCTGCGCTGCACTAATTCAACTAATAATTGCGCGGTCATGCAATGCTGCACCCAAACGAAATTTACGTCATTTTTTTTCACACAAATAGAGCTTTCTTTCGGTGGTATTTGATCACCTGTGCGCTTTTTATTTTTCACGCTATAAACAAAAAAAGGCCAAAAATTTGGAAGAAAAACAATATTTTTTACTTTCAGCTATAAAAAAATATATAGTAAACTCAAAGTTGGTTATAAATTTAGGCCAAAATGTATTCTGCTCCATGTTTTTGGTGAATAAAAATCCCAATAAGTGTATATTGATTGCTTTGTGTGAAGTTATAGCGTCTACAAACTATGGTATAGATACTGCAATTTACGCAATTTTTTCTGCTATACAGCGCTGCGCTAGTTTAACGGACAATTGCGCGGTCATGCAATACGGTACATAAATGAAATTTACATCCTTTTTTTTCCCACAAATTGAGTTTTCTTTTGGTGGTATTTGATTGCCTGTGCGGTTTTTATTTTTTGTGCTATAAAAAAAAAGGCTGACAATTTTGAGGAAAAAAAACAATATTTTGGACTTTTTGCTATAAAACATGTCAGTAAAAAAAAATATAAAAATCAAATTTAGTCAGATTTCTGCCAAAATGCATTCTGCGACATGTCTTTGCTAAAAAAAAAAAACCAATACGTGTAAATTAATTGGTTTACGTGAAAGTTATAGCGTTTACAAATGGCGGGAAAGATACTGGGATTTTTAGTTTTTTTTTTATACTAATAATGGCGTCAGCGTCTTATGGCGGCGATCAGCGACTTATGGCAGGACTGCGGCTGACATTCTGACATTGGGGGGTACTGACTTGGGGTCACTGACATCCCCAGTGACACCAATACAGTGATCAGTGCAAAAAAAAAAAACACTGACACTGTACTAATGGCACTGGGGAGGAAGGGGTTAACTTTATTTTTCAGGGAAAGGGTTAACTGTGTGAGGGGAGTGTTTTACTAGGGGGCGGGGCGGGGTGTGTACTGCAGGGAACACCGCTGATCGGGAGAGAGAAACTCTTCTGTCCCGATCAGCGTGTCCTGGAGCTGTCAGGGAACTGACAGAAAGCACAGCTACTGGAGCTGTGCTCTCTGTCAGAGATTGCTGCCGATCGCCGGGACATAGCCGGTAAAGACCGGCTGTGACCTGGCGACTGACATCCACGGCTGTGATCGGTGGGACAGGTAGGGCGGCGGCACGCCTCACGCGCGCCCCCTACCTGTTTACAAAACACACGTTTTAAAACGCGCTTTTGCCCAGCCGTGCCGCCCTGCCGCCGTATTTATACAGTGGCTGGGCGGCATGTGGTTAAACATAGCACTGCATACAAATTGTGTCGACATATTCTAAGTCGAGCGCTCTTTGTCCTAGTAACCTCAATAAAGAGGGAGTGTTCAGACCCCCCCCCCCCGAAACGCGTTGGTTGTTTTGATTTTTCGACTCCATATAAATTAACAATTGCTTTATTGTAATTATTTAAACATAGCTTTGCATAGGAATTGTGTTGACATATTCTAAAGAGACCACTCCTTGACCTTGTAGCCTCAATAAAGGGAGGGGTGTTTAGACCCCCGAAACGCGTTGGTCGTTTTGATTATTTGATGAACAATGGACTTTTTTTTTTATTCATTTGTGGTTTGGTGGTCTTCATGCCATCTTTCTCTTCCTGGAGTCTGATTGTGGGTACCCCAGTTAGGGTGACCCTGTCTGACCAGAGCAGGCTCTTCGGGGCCATTGGGCCTCAGAATGTTTTTTTACATTCTACTGTATTGCACTAGTAATTATCTTCGTTTCAAGCACCTTTCCGATACCTATTCCCAACTTACCTATCCTATCCAATGCTAAAAGATATATTTTATAGTGTATCTAATCCTAAGTTTTAAAAATAACATGGCGGCTTACCCTACAACAGTGGTCTCCAAGCTGCAGCCCGTTGGCCAGGTGCAACCCTTTTTTTGCCTATATCCACCCCTTGAGGCACTATTCCTCCCACTTGAGGTTGTTGGGTGAATCCAGATCATCCATGAATTCTTTAGAATCAAACCTCCGACCCCTCTTACATTTTGCACCCCAACAGATGATTCTGAATGCCAAGTGCCACGCCATCCGCGATGCCCAGATGGTGGAGAGGAAAGTGATCACCAAAGAGCTGGAGGAGGAGTCCAAGCGTCTGGACCAGATGATGGAGGTGGAACGTCAGAAGTCGATAAAGATGCAAGAGGAGATCGAGGAGATGAGGAAACAGGAGAGGATCAGGTAGGCCGCATCATTTATTGAACAATAAACATGGCTCCATTCAGCCCTTGAGGCATGGCAAAGGTGAACTCTGCAGTAAATCAAATAGCTTTTGTTATTTTAAGGCCATCTTGGGGGAAAGAAAAAAATGTTCTCCATCAGTAGCTCAGAAAATACTGAAGTTATTGACAGTCAGGCACCTTGCATTTTCAGAAGGAGGTCAACATTGGCGCATATATACAGTATATCTTTTATTTTAGGGCAGGCTTCCTTTAATAGCAGTGAAACATTTAGTCCCGTTGTGTCCAGTAAACATGGCTGACTTATCTGTCTCTGCAGAGGGAAGCTTCACGTCATCCAGCAGATTGGTGAAAACGAGGAGGCCAGACTTCTCCAGGAGGAGCAAAGGGAGCAAGAAGCCCAGCAGATGCTTAAGTACCTGGAAGAGCTTCAGATGGAAGATTACAAAGTGAGTGAATGGAGAAGAGAGACAGCTTTAGGCTTACTTATTACATAATTCTCCCCAGTAGGGGGATTTCCCTGTACTTCTTGTTGTGTCACCAGAAAAGGAAGTAGTGGGAAATTCCCCCAATGGGGCATAAACATCAGTAAACCATATAGATGTTGTACCTTTTATAGATAATCTACCTACCATATAGATTTTTTACTATCTCTAGATGTTCTACCTACCGTGTAGATGTTTTGCTTTTTATAGATGTTCTACCTACCATATAGATGTTCTACCTACCGTGTAGATGTTTGACTTTTTATAAATGTTCTACCTACCATATACTGTAGATGTTCTACCTTGTATGGTAGCTAAATCTAAAGGAAATTGTACAGAGATCTTACGTTCAGACTAATATGTGTGTGTGGGCCAGATTTAACCCCTGTTTTACTCCTATAATAGGTTTACTTTAAATAGTCATGAACTTGTGAGCTTGTTGGATATCTCTCTGATGGTCGACAAGAAGGCTTGGCTTGCAGTCGACTTTCTAGTTCATCCCAAAGGTGTTCAGTAGGGTTGAGGTCAGGGATCTGTGCAGGACACTCAAGTTCCTCCCCAATAAGCTGATCAAACCATGTCTTTATGTAGTTGGCCACCATTTATGAGGTCAGGTACTGTTGGATGAGAAGACCTGGCTCACAACTAGGGTTTGAGTTCATTCCAAAGGTGATCAGTAGGGTTAAAGTCGGGGCTCTGTGCAGGATACATGAGTTCCTACAAACCAAACTGGTCAAACCATGTCTTTATGTAGTTTGCCACCATTTTATGAGGTCAAGTACTGTTGGATGAGAAGACGGGGCTCAAAATTAGGGTTTCAGCTTCTTCACATCAAACTGGTCAACCCATGTCTTTATGTAGTTGGCCACTATTTATGAGGTCAGGTACTATTGGATGAAAAGACCTGGCTCAAAATTGGGGTTTCAGCTTCTCCACATCAAACTGGTCAACCCATGTCTGTATGTATGTAGTTGGCTCAAAATTGGGGTTTCACCATTTATGAGGGCCACCATTTATGAGGTACTGTTGGATGAGAAAACCTAGCTCAAAATTGGGGTTTCAGCTTCTCCACATCAAATTGGTCAACCCATGTCTTTATGTAGCTGTCCACCATTTATGAGGTTTGGTACTATTGGATGAGAAGACCTGGCTCACAATTTGGGTTTTCAGTTCCTCTCAGAGGTGTTCAGTAAGGTTGAGGTCAGAGCTCTGTGCAGGATGCTCATTTTCCTCCTCACCAAACTGGTCAAACCATGTCTTTAAGTAGTTGTCCACCATTTATGAGGTCAAGTAATATTGGATGAGAAGACCTGGCTCACAGATGGGGTTTCAGTTCCTCCCAGAGGTGTTCAGTAGGGTTGAGGTCAGAGCCCTGTGCAGGACACTTGAGTTTCTAAACACCAAACTGGTAAAACCATGTTTTTATGTAGTTTGCCACCATTTATTAGGTCAAGTACTGCTGGATGAGAAGACCTGGCTCACAACTAGGGTTTCAGCTTCTCCACATCAAACTGGTCAACCCATGTCTTTATGTAGTTGGCCACCATTTATGAGGTCAGGTACTGTTGGATGAGAAGACCTGGCTCAAAATTGGGGTTTCAGCTTCTCCACATCAAACTGGTCAACCCATGTCTGTATGTAGTTGGCGACCATTTATGAGGTCAGGTACTGTTGGATGAGACGACTTGGCTCACAACTGGGCTTTGAGTTCATTCCAAAAGTGATCAGTAGGGCTGAGGTCAGGGCTCTGTGCAGGACCTTTGAGTTCTTACACACCAAACTGGTCAAACCATGTCTTTATGTAGTTGGCACCATTTATGAAGTCAGGTACTGTTGGATGAAAAGACCTGCCTAAAAATTGAGGTTTCAGTTTCTCCACATCAAACTGGTCAAGCCATGTCTTTATGTAGTTGGCCACCATTTATGAGGTCAGGTACCGATGTTGGATGAGAAGACCTGGCTCAAAATTGGGGTTTTAGTTCATCTAAAAAAGAGTTCAGTAGGACTGGGGTCAGGGCTCCGTGCAGAATACACAACTTCCTCCCCAGCAAACTGGTTTAAACCATGTCTTTATGTAGTTGTCCACCATTTATGAGGTCGGGTACTGTTGGATGAGAAGACCTGGCTCACAATTGGGGTTTCAGTTCCTCACAGAGGTGTTCAGTAGGGTTAAGGTCAGAGCTCTGTGCAGGATACTCATTTTCCTCCTCACCAAACTGGTCAAACCGTGTCTTTATGTAGTTTTCCACCATTTATGAGGTCGGGTACTATTAGATGAGAAGACCTGGCTCACAATTGGGTTTCAGTTCCTCACAGAGGTGTTCAGTAGGGTTAAGGTCAGAGCTCTGTGCAGGATACTCATTTTCCTCCTCACCAAACTGGTCAAACCGTGTCTTTATGTAGTTTTCCACCATTTATGAGGTCGGGTACTATTGGATGAGAAGACCTGGCTCACAGATGGGGTTTCAGTTCCTCCTAGAGGTGTTCAATAGGGTTGAGTTTAGAGCTCTCTGCAGGACACTTGAGTTCCTAAACACCAAACTGGTCAAACCATGTCTTTATGTAGTTTGCCACCATTTATGAGGTCAAGTACTGTTGGATGAGAAGACCTGGCTCACAACTGGGGTTTCAGCTTCTCCACATCAAACTGGTCAACCCATGTCTTTATGTAGTTGGCCACCATTTATGAGCTCAGGTACTGTTGGATGAGAAGACCTGGCTCACAATTGGGGTTTCAGCTTCTCCACATCAAACTGGTCAACACACGTATTTATGTAGTTGGCCACCATTTATGAGATCAGGTACTGTTGGATGAGAAACCTGGCTTACAACTGGGGTTTGAGTTCATCCCAGAGGTGTTCAGCAGGGTTTAGGTCAGGGCTCTGTGCATGTCACTCAACTTCCTCCCCACCAAACTGGTCAAACCATTTCTTTATAACTTTGTACACAGGGGCACAGTCATGGTGGAAGAGAAAAGGGCCTTCACCAAGTTGTTACCACAAGGTTGAAAGAGGACAATCATCTAAAATGTTTTTATATTCTGTATAATTAACATAACCTTTCACTGGAAACCCCTGAAGTCAACCATTTAGAAGGGGTGTCCACATACTCTTCCCCACAGTGTAGGTCAAACAGTTGGCCATATAATATTGGTGTAAAGGACATTGAAATGTAGAAACGCGTTTGGTGTTTCCCCACAGGATATGGAGAAGAAAAGGATGGAACAGTTGGAAATTCAGGCCGAGATAAAAACATATCAATGCTGAGAACAAGAGGAAGAAAATTGAGCGGAAGGAGCAGGAGAAGCTGGCAGACCTGCGGGTGCTAGAATATACCAAACAGAAACTGGTAAGCAGGTGTCTGTGGATAAATGAATTATAGGACAAGCCCTATGCCTCTATCGAACCTTCTACAATCCTCAGCATTAGAAGTAATAAATTGCTGTATATATCTCTGTCTATGTGGGAGTCACCAATTTACTTACTTTTTTGCTGTTTCCTTTTAGCTGTAAAAAAAATCCCTTAATTTCTGGTGAAAATGTGTCCCTATTGTCCACTGGGGACACAGCTTTATTAAGCAACCAAGGGCTATACTGCCACCTACCGTATAACCTTTGTTGCTTATTGTCAATAAAGCTGTGTCCCTCAATGGACTCCAACCAGTAAGTGAAACAAAAATCTTTTTATTCCTAGTCTTACCCCTCATTAGGAAATGAGGGGTAAGACTAGTAATAATAGAATTTTTTTTTTTACTTACTGTTTGGAGTCCATTGAGGGACACAGCTTTATTGACAATAAGCAACAAGGGTTCTACGGTAGGTGGCAGTAGTTGTGCAGGTTGTCTGTATATGACTGTGCAGTCCAGTTGGCACCAGTGTTGGACCCAGTCCAGTTGTATGTAAAATTTGTGTCTCGCTCCACTAATCATAAAATATGAGTGTATTATTAACCTGATTATATTAATCATATATCATAACGGGATTTTCCAAAATACCAAATACTAATTTAGTAAAATTGCCATGAACCATCAATTAAAGTGCAGTGTTAAAAGTACTCAAATATATAATTAAAAAATGTATATGTCTTGGAATCTCCCTTTTTCTGGGCTCTTGGCCCCTCCCCCCCCTCTTCAGAACTCTTGGACTCCCCCTTCTTCAGGGCTCTTGAACTTCCCCTTTTTCAGAGCTCTTGGTAAACAAGTCAATTATTTCCCTTCAACCGCTTAAGACTATCCCTTCTTCAGAGCTCTTGGACGCCTCCTTCTTCATAGCTCTTGGAGTCCCGCTTCTTCAGGGCTCTTGGACTCGCCCTTCTTCAGGGCTCTTGGACTCTCCCTTCCTCAGGATTCTTGGACTCTCCCTTTCTTCAGGGCTCCTGAACTCTCCCTTTCTTCAGGGCTCCTGAACATCTCCCTTTCTTCACGGCTCTTGGACTCACCCTTCTTCGGGGCTCTTGGACTCACCCTTCTTTGGGGCTCTTGGACTCCCCCTAGTTTGGGGCCCTTGAACTCTCCCTTTCTTCGGGGCTCTTAGACTTTCCCTTCTTCAGGGCTCTTGAGCTCTCCCTTTCTTCGGGGCTCTTGAATTCTCCCTTTCTTTGGTTCTCTTGGACTCACCCTTCTTCCAGGCTCTTGTCCTCACCCTTCTTAAGGGCTTTTAGACTCTCCCTTCCTCAGGATTCTTGGACTCTCCCTTTCTTCAGGACTCCTGAACTGTCCCTTTCTTCAGGGTTCTTGAACTTTCCCTTTCTTCAGGGCTCTTGGACTCCCCCTACCTCAGGGCTCTTGGACTCCCCCTACTTCGGGGCTCTTGAATTCTCCCTTTCTTTGGGGCTCTTGAACTCTCCCTTTCTTTGGGGCTCTTGAACTCTCCTTTTCTTTGGGGCTCTTGAACTCTCCCTTTTTTGGGGCTCTTGAACTCCTTCTTTCTTTGGGGCTTTTGAACTCTCCCTTTTTTGGGGCTCTTGAACTCCTTCTTTCTTTGGGGCTCTTGAACTCTCCCTTTCTTTGGGGCTCTTGAACTCTCCCTTTCTTTGGGGCTCTTGAACGCTCCCTTTCTTTGGGGCTCTTGAACTCTCCCTTTCTTTGGGGCTCTTGAACTCTCCCTTTCTTTGGGGCTCTTGAACTCTCCCTTTCTTTGGTGCTCTTGAACTCTCCCTTTCTTTGGGGCTCTTGAACTCTCCTTTTGTTCAGAGCTCTTAGACTTTCCCTTCTTTAGGGCTTTTGGACTCCCCCTTCTTCGGGGCTCCTGAATTTTCCCTTTCTTCAGGGCCGTTAGACTCCCCCTTCTTCAGGGCTCTTGGATTCCCCCTTCTTCAGAGTTCCTGGACTCCTTCTTCAGGGCTCTTGGACTCCTCTTTTTTCAGGGTTCTTGGACTTCCCCTTATTCAAGGCTTTGGACTACCATTCTTGAGGGCTCTTGGACTCCTCTTTTTTCAGGGTTCTTGGACTTCCCCTTATTCAAGGCTTTGGACTCCCCCTTCTTTTGGGCTGTTGGACTACCCTTATTCAGGGCTCTTGGACTCCCCTTTTTTCAGGGTTCTTGAACTTCCCATTTTTCAGGGCTTTGGACTACCATTCTTTTCAGGCTCTTGGACTACCCTTATTCAGGTCTCATGGACCCCCCTTCTTCAGGAATCTTGGACCCCCCTTCTTCAGAGCTCTTGGTTAAAATGTCAGTTATTTCCTTTCAACCGCCTGGGAGATTGTTTCTAATTTTTATACAAAATGTCAGTTTTCCTTTCCCTTGAGAGCTCAGCAATGGCGGGCGGCCCCTATGTTTCTGTCCTGACAAAATTAACATCTGGAATGTGCATTGATCTTTCTTCCTGTGTCTCTGTCGCCAGGCTCGGGAAGCAGAATACGAAGCAGAGCAAGAAAGGATTAAAAAAGAGAAAGAAATGGAAGTTGCTCGTCTACGAGCGTTACAGGAGAGAGCTCACGATCACCGAGCAGAGCAGGTATGTTCACCTTTAACCACCTCCTGCCCGCCATATAATAATATGACGGACGCAAGGTGGTTCTCTCGTTCTGGGAGGACGTCATATGACGTCCTCCCATTCTCACCGCGCATGCGCGGCTCAGGGAGCGCACAGCGTGGCGATCAGCGGTGCGCTGTGTCCCTTGGACACAGCGGATCACCGATCATGGAAAGAGCCGAAGATGTCGGCTTGGTCATGTGATTAGCTGTGTCCAATCACAGCTGATCACATGTAAACAGGGAAATGCCAGTTATCAGCATTTCTCTCCTCTAGAGCTGTCATGCTGACAGAGGAGAGGAGAGCCGGTAATCGGCTTTACGCAGAGGGGACATGTACACTGATCATCAGGGCACTGATGATCAGTGTGCCCTGATGATTAGTGTAGCCCCAGGAGCGTCACCTGTCAGTGCTCATCAGTGCCCCGTGCCAGTGCCCATCAGTGCCACATCAATGCAACATATCAGTGCCTACCAGTGCACATCGATGCCACATATCAGTGCCCATCTGAGCTGCCTTTCAGTGTCACCCATCAGTGCCAGTCAGTGCCACCTATCAATGCCAATCAGTGCCACCTATCAGTGCTGCCAATCAGTGCCTGTCAGTGCCGCCTATCAGTGCCTGTCAGTGCCGCCTATCTGTGCCAGTCAGTGCCGCCTATCAGTGCCAGTTAGTGCCGCCTATCAGTGCTGGCTATCAGTGCCATGTATCAGTGCTGCCTTTCAGTGCCCATCAGTGATACCTGTCAATGCCCATCAGTGCCACCTACCAGTGCCTCCTCATCAGTGCCCACCAGTGCCACCTATCAGTGTCCATCAGTGCAGCCTATGAATGCCCATCAGTGCAGCCTCATTAGCGCATATCAGTGAAGGAGAAAAATCACTTATTTACAAAATTTTATAACAAAAACTAAGAAAAAAACTTTTTTTCCCCAGAATTTTCAGTGAAGGAGAAAAAAATCACTTATTTACAAAATTTTATAACAAAAACTAAGAAAAAACTTTTTTTTAAAAAAAAAATTTTCAGTGGTTTTTGGTTTGTTTAAGAAAAATTAAAAAACATTGAGGTGATTAAATACCACCAAAATAAAGCTCTATCAAAATTTCATATGGGTACAGTGTTGCATGACCGCGCAATTGTCATTTAAAAGTGCAACAGCGCTGAAAGCTGGAAATTGGCCTGGGCAGGAAGGGGGGTAGAAGTGTCCTGTAGGCAGGAAGGGGGTATAAGTGCCCTGTAGGCAGGAAGGGGGTAGAAGTGCCCTGTAGGCAGGAAGGGGTAGAAGTGCCCTGTAGACAGGAAGGGGTAGAAGTGTCCTGTAAAGAAGGAAGGGGGTAGAAGCGCCCTGTAGGCAGGAAGGGGGTTAAGTAGAAGTGCCCTGTAGGCAGGAAGGGGGTAGGCAAAGTGCCCCTTTAGACAGGAAGGGGGTAGAAGCGCCCAGGAAGGTAGGCAGGAAGGGGGTAGAAGCGCCCTGTAGGCAGGAAGGGGGTAGAAGTGCCCTGTAGACAGGAAGGGGGGTAGAAGCGCCCTGTAGGCAGGAAGGGGGGTAGAAGTGCCCTGTAGGCAGGAAGGGTAGGTAGAAGCGCCCTGTAGGCAGGAAGGGGGTAGAAGCGCCCTGTAGGCAGGAAGGGGGTATAAGTGCCCTGTAGGCAGGAAGGGGTAGAAGTGCCCTGTAGGCAGGAAGGGGGTAGAAGTGCCCTGAAGGCAGGAAGGGGGTGCCCTAGTAGGCAGTAGGACAGGAAGGGGGTAGAAGCGTCCTGTAGACAGAAGGGGGTAGAAGCGCCCTGTAGACAGGAAGGGGGTAGAAGCGCCCTGTAGACAGGAAGGGGGTAGAAGCGCCCTGTAGACAGGAAGGGGTAGAAGCGCCCTGTAGACAGGAAGGGGTAGGCAGAAGGGGGTAGAAGCGCCCTGTAGACAGTGCCCTGTAGGGAGGTAGAAGCGCCCTGTAGGCAGGAAGGGGTAGAAGCGCCCTGTAGGCAGGAAGCGCGCTGTAGGCAGGAAGGGGGGGTAGAAGCGCCCTGTAGGCAGGAAGGGGGAAGAAGCGCCCTGTAGACAGGAAAGGTAGGGAAGGGGGGTAGAAGCGCCCTGTAGGCAGAAGCGCCCTGTAGGCAGGAAGGGGGTAGAAGCGCCCTGTAGGCAAGGAAGGGGAAGTAGAAGCGTCCCTGTAGTAGAAGCGCAGGGAAGGGGGTAGAAGCGTCCTGTAGACAGGAAGGGGGAAGCGTAGAAGCGCCCTGTAGACAGGAAGGGGTAGAAGCGCCCTGTAGACAGGAAGGGGTAGAAGCGCCCTAGAAGCGCCCTGTAGACAGGAAGGGGGGTAGGTAAAGCGCCCTGTAGACAGGAAGGGGTAGAAGCGCCCTGTAGGCAGGAGGGGGTAGAAGCGCCCTGTAGGCAGGAAGGGGGTAGGAAGTTCTGTCCTGTAGGCAGGAGGGGGGTAGAAGCGCCCTGTAGGCAGGAAGGAGGTAGAAGCGCCCTGTAGGCAGGGGGTAAAGCGGTAGGCAGAAGGAGGTAGAAGCCCCTGTAGGCAGGGTAAAGGGGGTAAGGGGGTAAAGCGTCCTGTAGGCAGGAGGGGGTAGAAGCGCCCTGTAGGCAGGAAGGGGGTAGAAGCGCCCTGTAGGCAGGAAGGGGGTATAAGTGTCCCTGTAGGCAGGAAGGGGGTAGAAGCGCCCTGTAGGCAGGAAGGGGGGGTAGAAGCGCCCTGTAGGCAGGAAGGCAGGAATAGTAGATCTTTAGGACAGAGGTGGAACTACGCCATCCAATAGCCAAGTAAATCTTTTGCCTTACTTGTTTTACCTTTTTTTTTTTTTAGGATGCCCTCCGGGCAAAGAGGAACCAGGAGGCCATGGAGAGAGCCTGGCGCCGGAAGGAAAAAGAAGAGGCGTTAAAGCAGGCTGAGGTGAACTCCATGTTGCGAAAGGCACGTTCTGGAGCAGGTGGCGCACAAGGAGCACTACTTGGCTGTGCAGGCTCAGCGGGACCGAGTGGAATTTGAGCGGGTGTTAAAGTATGGAGACCACCGATGGCCTTCCTGGTGGAATGTAGATATTTGGATACCGGCCTTATAATCGTCTTCATGTTTCTATCGCAGGGTCCAGCGTGATCTGGGTGGAGAAGGAACTCAAGGAGCAGGAGGAGAAGACCAACCATCTGAGGAAACACGCCAGCGAACTGAGGCGACAAGTGCGCGAGCAAGAGCAGAAACAGGTGGTGAACCGCATCTCCCACTTCGAGGAGGGCAAGAGGCTGGACGAGGAGGCCCGACAACGCAGGGTACGCCTGGATGAACTCAAACAGAAGAAGCTGGAGGAACTAAGGTGAGAGCCACCACAAGTGTACACTCTCTGCTGGTTGAAGACTTCTAGCTCTAACTCAGTAGGGAATGTGTCAGACCTCTTCAGGGAGACCACTGCTTCCATGCAGAGAGGAAGGGTCCTTCTCTGCAGAATTCTCAAGACAGCACAGATCAGATTGGAGAATTCTAGCTCTAACTCAGCAGTGGCTGTGTCGGACCTCTGCAGAGGGACCACTGCTTCCAATCAGAAAGGAAGGGTCCTTCTCTGCAGCATGCTGGGTCAGATCAGATATTTGATAAGTAGAAAAACATGCCTGTTGATCCTGCCAGGAAACCCATCTGCTGAACTTTCTGTGCCCCCTGCCTGTGCTGCATTCTTATAAGTTACATTGTTCCCAGCTATCTCTGTGAACTACAGAACACCTCCCTCTCCCCCTCTCCAGCATGTCCCACCATGATTTACAGTACCCTGTAGGAGGAAACCCCTTTTATTATTTCCTTTATCACCAGCCATGTCAAATTCTCGCAGAGGCAGCTGCTGGGAGATTGTTTCCTATTGACATACAGTATGCACACCCCCAGAACTACATCTCCCAGGAGCCCTTTTCTTACACAGAGTGTGTGGACAGGGGCTTGAGAGTCGATACAGCAGCATTGTTTCCCGGGGAACAAAATCAATGAAAGCCTACTGTATAGAGAGGTACAGAGAGAGGTGAGACATGGGTGGAGTTCTGTAGTCCAGCAGGTGGGGCTAACAACGCTGCTTGGGATTTCAGTGCAGCAGAGGCAGCGTTGTCAGCCCAAACAGGAAGGGAGCTCAGTGTATTTCTGGCAGGTCAACAAGGTATTTCTCTGTGTTTTTAACCACCTCCCGTCCGGCCATTGTATATAAATGGCCAGACGGTGGCAGTGCAGGGTCGGGCAGGTGTTTACAAACGGCCTCCCCGCACCCTGCTTGTGCGCGCTCCCTGGGTGCGCGCAGCACCACGATCCGGTGCCCGCTGTGTCCTCCGGACACAGTGGAACACCGATCATCGGAAGGGACCTCTGTGCAAGGTCCCAATCGTGATCACTGATTGGCAATCAGTGATCAAATGCAGAGTAGTAAGCAAGATGTCACTTGTGACATCATTGCTTGCTACGTGTGAAATCTGTGAATGATCACAGAGGTCACATGGTACAGGGCTAGTCACAACAGCCTTGTACCATGTGACAAGCTGTGACCAATCACAGCTCACTCAGTAGTTCTCAATGGCTGCAAGAATGCAGCCAGAGAGGAGAAATGATTGCTTTTACAGCCTTTATGGGTGTAAAAGCAATCAGTGTAAAAAAAAAAAAAAAAAATCTTCATCACTTCCCACAAGTAGTACAATGTCGCCATGGTGACAGTGTGTAAAAAAATAAATAAAATAAATAAAAAATGTTTAAAAAATTATAATTTTTGGTTATAAACTAATTTGGGTTATTTTTTTTTTTTTTTACTAAAAATATAACTGAATAAATTTTGGCCAATATTTATGATGAAATACTGTTTTTTATTTGCAACATTTTATAAGAAAAACACTTTTTTAAAAAATGTTTGGACTTTTTAATTTACATAGCAAAAAAAATAAAAATCCCAGCGGTGAATAAATACCACCAAAGTAAAGCTTTATCTGTCTAAAAAAAATGCTAAAAAATTCCTATGGATACAGTATTGCATGACCGCGCAATTGTCATTCAAAGTGTGATAGCGCTGAAAGCTGAAAATTGGCCTGGACTGGAAGGGGGGGGAAGTGTCCGGACAGGAGGGGGCGGAAGTGTCCCCAGACTGGAAGGGGGGGGAAGTGTCCGGACTGGAAGGGGGGGGGGAAGTGTCTGGACTGGAAGGGGGGAAAGTGTCCAGACTGGAAGGGGGGGGGGGGGGGGGGGGGGAAAGTGTCCGGACTGGGGGTGGAAGGGGGGGGGGGGGGGGGGATGTGTCTGGACTGGAAGGGGGGGGGAAGTGTCCGGACAGGAGGGGGGGAAGTGTCCAGACTGGAAGGGGGGGGGGAAGTGTCCGGACTGGAAGGGGGGGAAAGTGTCCGGACAGGAAGGGGGCGGAAGTGTCCTGTCCGGACTGGTGGAAGGTCGGGGGGGGATGTTGTCTGGACTGGAAGGTAGGGAGGTGAGTGGTGGGGGTGTGGTGTGGAGGGGGTGGGGGAGGGAGGTGGAAGGGAGCGGGCAAGCGTCCGTTTGGGGGGGGTGGGGCGGGTGGGGGTGGTCCAGAGTGGCGGTTGGAAGTTTGGTAGTGGTTGTGGTGGAGGGGTGGGTCGCGGGACTAGGTAATGGGTATCGTAGTATATGGTTGCTGAGGTGGGGGGGTCCGGAGGCCGGTGGGGGTTAGGGGGAGGGATGGGTCGGGGAGGGTGGAGGTAGGCTTGGGGGGGGGGCGGTCCCCAGGTAGGCGAAGGTGTGGAGCGTGTGCGAATGACTGTGTGTGTGAGTGCGGTGGAGAGAGGGAAAGGAGGGGGTGGGCAGGAAGCGTGTGGTTGTAGACGTAGGTAGGAGTGGGGTTAGGCGGCGGGGGGTGGAGGTAGGATGTGGGTTGGGTTCGGAGTTGGGGGGGAGGGGCGGAAGGGGTGGGTGTAAGTGTCTGCGGCTGGGTTGGAGGTGCGGAAAGTGTTGTTTGAGGGGAGGGGGGGGGGGGGGGGGGATGGAGGGGAGGGGGGGGGGGGGGGGGGGGGGGTGTTAGGGGGGGGGGGGGGGGGGGGGGTGGGTAAGGTCAGGGGGGGGGGGCTAGGTGGAAATAGGCTGTATACGGAGGGTGGGGAAAGTGTTTGGCTGTTAAGGAGGTGGAGTGTCGCTTGGGAGGGGGAAAAAGGTGACGTCCCAAAAACATCGTCCACAAAGGGGTCGATGTCCCAGAAAGTAGAATTTATCAAAAATAGAGTTTTTGTTTTTATTTCCCTGACTTTTGTAGACGTTTTTGAACGACATAGACTAAAGAAAAAAAAAAATACCACTTCATGGAAAACTTTCCTTCTCTCTAATGGGTGGACTTAAAGGGTAGAACCCAAGGGTGACGAGCGGGGAAACTCAGCACAGGGATGGGGGGAAACCCCCTCATAATGGGCACAGCGGGTGTACAGCCCCCGGGAACCAGCTGGGTGGTGGGAAAAACCCCTCATTAAGGGGACGGGGTGTACAGCCCGGGGAATCACAAGGGATGGTGGGAACCCCTCAGAATGGGCACGCGGGTGACAGACCGGGAACTCAGACAGGGATGGTGGAACCCCTCATAATGGGCAAAGGGGGTGTACAGCCCGGGAAACGCGGGGGGGGATGGTGGGCCCCCCTCAAAGGACAGCGGGTG